TTGCTTAGGGCCTCACTAAGTTATTATTACCATTACTATTTTTACATAAAGGGCCTTGCTAAGTTGCTGAGGCTGGCTTTGAACTTGCAATCCTCTTGCCTCAGCCACCCCAGTTTCTGGGATTACAGAAGTGTGCCACTGTGACTCACAACTTACTCTCTTTTAGAGCCCTTTTCACTTAAAACTATATTAGAATTATTATGTGTATCAATTATTCTTTGTCTCCCCACTAGAACAGAAGCTCCATAAATGCTGAGGCCCTTGTCTCTTCTGTTCACCGATGGATAATAAGAACCTAGAATAGTGCTCAGCTAATATTTATGATTGAAAATGATTGATGTGTGTCTTTAAAGTAGAAATCTAAGTAATATAAAAAATTGGAAGTGTCTAAGTTATTCACTTATTACACTTAAAACCTTGATCACTTCATTAATGACTAAGAAACCACTATGTCTGTCATACTTACTCTTAACCATTTCTAATATTCTTTGCTTTTATGTTATTTAAAATAAATTATTTTTACTTGATGGAACACTGATCACTCCTAGAGTCAGTAGGGATCCTAATTTCAGTTTCCTCTAATCCCCGGTTTGACAACATACTTTGTAAATGTAGGTACATGATTCTTAAATACTTTTAACAAATTAGCACAATCAGAATAACATTACCTTTAAAGCAGAGATAGGGGACTATTACTAGGAGAAAGCCAGGAGATATGCTGGTAATACTGACATCCAGATGTTGGCTTTTTTATTATTTATTATAATGTAGATACGTATTTTGCTCTGCATATGTGCATATATATCATATCATCATTTGTATATATGAAATAATTTATAATAAAAATGGAGGAAAAATATAGTTCACTTGTTCTATTACTTTTTATTTTTCTTCAGTTTGATATGACATAGCTCTCTCTATATAAATCTTCCAGCCAGTTGTAGAAACATAATAGCTGTGTGATTAAGCATTTAACCCCTCTCCCAGCCCACAACCATCTCGCTGATGAATCTGTGATATGAAACCAAATCAGGAAGATTTCCAGCAGAATTTGGAAAAAAAAGTCAGACTTACTACTTTGTTGATTTAATCAACACAACAGGCTCTTGTGAGGGATTTGAATATAATAAAGATAAAAATAAAAACATGATGGCTGCTACAGCAGATTATTGTTTTCAAAAGACACATATAAAGAAAACAACTTCAAAATTGATTATAATTCTTGTCTTCCCACTATAACAAGCCAACTTCTTTGCTTGGTTACCTTCTATTCACCCTCCTTCCCTGACCCCAGTCTGGTGTAAGAGCAGGATATATGCTCACATAGCACGTGACTCAGGTCACAGGTAGAATTATAACGGCCTAGTTATGTTTCCTCTTCTAGACTATAAGCTACTTGAGGAGAGGCCCCATGCATTGCCACCATTTGCACCCTAGTCCTCGATATAGCACCTCAGGCACTAATATCATACTGGCCTGGTTTAAACATCAGCTGTGCATCTTATTTCCTGTATAAGTTTCTTACCCTCTCTGTGCTTTCATTTCCTCAACGATAAAAAGTGATAATAGTATAAGCCCAAGGTACAAGGATAAACAAAATGATAGCTCTAAATTAGTTAGCACAGCGTCTGGTACATGCGAGAGCATCCCTAATTTAAAAATTAAGATCCAAAATGCTCAAAAATCAGAAACGGTTTTTGAATGCCAACATGGAAAATTCTACACTGACCTCGTGTGAAAGGTCACAGTCAAACACGTCATACAACATATAGTTTATTCAAGGGAAAAAATTACTCTGCAGGCCCCATTAGGCTATAATATACAAACTTTTGTTTCATGCACAAAATTATTTTAAAATATTGGATAAAATTATTTTAGGCTACTGTATAAGGTGTATTGGAAACAAGGGAATTTTGTGTTTAGACATGGGTTTGATCCCCAAGATATCTCATTATGTATATGCAAATATTCCAAAATTAAAAAAAAATCAAAACCCCAAATAATTACAGTCCAAGCATTTTGGATAAGTTGTATTATAAAGAAACATTATAATAAAATATTATTTACTATTATCATATGGGGATCAAAGAGGAACCTGAATTGACAGAAGAAAAGAGGCCTCATAATATGATTTTAATGATTCAAGTTCATAGTTAATGCTAAGGAAATGTTTGGAAATGCAGTCAAGAATTCGAGCCACAGAATAATGTACTGAGAACGCGTAGTGCCCTGGACTGGAGTTACATTTCTATCTGCTCAAGCCTCACTGTTGACTGGAGGACCAAAATTTGGGACCAAAAGGTCAACTGGGGTTTAGGCAGCTTGCGACAGTTTGATGGTACCAACTAGAAGCGAATTGAAGTATTCAGAACATTTAGCAAATACATTTTGCGTCCTAACCCTGGTGATGGAATTGTCTAGATAATGGGGATGCGGTGGTGGCAGGTGCTGGTTCTCTGAGATGCTGTTCCTAGGCCCTGCCCTGCTGTGCTACTGTACAATCCAGTCTCTTAAATAGGGTGTAGGTGGCTCAGTACCTTTTCTCAGTGCTGTTTTCCCTTCTGTAGAAAAATATAATTGATATTTTTCTAGATACATTCAGTTTCCTTTAAAGTTCATGTTCTCATGATGATTATAACCTACATATAAACATCATCATCATACATATAAACATCAATATTTAACCAGTGTCCTTACCTAAAACCTTTCAATCTTAAAATCTGGTATTTATCATATACCTAAATTTATATAATAAAGGTTTAAAGTTCCTTGCCACTTAACATGACATTACTACACATAGCTTTTCATATTGAAAATACCAATTATGTTAATAATAATTGTTCTATCTTGAGGTTTTATTTAGTTCAAAATTGTTCTATTTTTCAAACTCCTAAGATCATTCTTTTGCTTACAGAGCAAACTCATGGGGTTCTAGGAAACTGTAAAGACTAATGTCTGTTAGGCTATAGAACATAAATTTAGTTTATTCTAAAATTTGTGGAATCACTTAAAGCCTTTAGGTATAAAAATAAGTAAAATAGAAGGGAATTACAAAGAAATGAAAATAATAATGCTATTTTGAAGAAATTTAAGATGGCATATAAAACACAAACATTTATGACAATAAACTTTATAAATAGCTCACTTTAGTAATAACATGGAAATATCTAAGTGTCTAAGTTAAAAAGGCAAAAAATGTTGTGGGAAATTGGTATGCAGCTTAGGATATAAATACAAAAAATTTAATGGGTGCTACATAGCCTAGTACTATGTGTAAGATTTAAAGTAACTACACCTTTCAAAGTTGTACTTTTTGAGAAATAGCAATTGAGCACTTTTGAAATATAACATTGACCTGTGGCTATTCTCTGTCTCAGTGTTTTTATTTTATTTTATTTTTTAAATACATGACAGTGAATGCATTACAATTCTTATTACACATACAGAGCACAATTTTTCATCTTTGTGTCTCAGTTTTTCAATAGAATGGGAAGTTGCTATTTTACATATAGGCTATGTAAACCAACACTGCTTTTTTACTTTTAAGAAACAGAAGACTTCAAACGTGTTCATATTTCAGAATTTAACAAAATCCATCAGCATTCTTCTTCTTCTTTTTTTTTGGTAGTGCTGAGGATTGAATCCACAACTCAGCATGCTAGTGCTCTACCACTGAGCTGTCTCAACCCCTTACAATCATTATCATTTCCTCCATTCTTACACAATCTAATCATCTCACTTTTCTGGTAAGTTATCTGAGGTCCAGAGAGGTTAAAACAACTTAAAGTCATCCTTGTCTAGCGAGTGGCAGATGTGGAGCTAAAACCCAAGTCTCAAATACCCAGAAAAGACACAAAAAGAAAAAATTATAAAGTATGAATAGTTTGAGGATGACATTAAATTTCACAACACATGGAGCTGACAGGAAATACCGTTGGAAACACTGCGGAGGATTCTTCACAGATTCTCTACTAATCTTGCTAGGCAGCATTTCTGGCCCATGTGCCATCCCGGTATTTCAGTGAGGCCCAGTGAAAACGGCACTATGAGTTTATTTAAAAAGACAAAGTTCTCTTTCTGAAATTTCAGTTTGGAGCCCCTGATTTATAAATGAGTGAAGTACCCTTGCCAGTGTTTAAGCCACATGACACCACCAGAAAGCATATCTGGAGGGGTAATACTTCCTTGTGTCACTCATTTCTCCTTCTCCAACAATCCCATTTAAAGTTCTTTCTGAAGCACTTTGCTGGAGTGGTTCGAGAAAACATGTTTTGCTTTCCATCGTGATACGAATACTAAGAAAGTCCTTTCCAGAAGGAAAAGAAGAGGTACACCAGCCAAAGGGGCAAGGTTTTTTATCCCCGGAGAGCTTGCCCAGGGATAGACAGACATTTTGGTTAGTTTTATTGACGCTACAAAAGGCACCTTTCCTCCAAGCCAAACTATAACTTTTGTCTGGTGTGCAGACTTTCTTCATCATATTTTAAAATGAAAAGGAGACTATTTCAGGGGGAAAAATGTAATTTTTGATAAAGAAGACGTAGTTGTCTGAGAGTTTTAAAGGAAGGAAACACTTTGAGATGTATCTGACAGCCATCGACAGGACTTGCATTTAAACTAGTGCCCTAAAGCGCCCCAGGAATTCCTCCAGATCCGGTCAGGTTGGGGCTCACTGGACCTGCTGGACCCTCGAGGGTGCGTATCAGTTCCCTGTTCAACCTTGTAGCAATTTCCTGGGCAGGAAATTAGTCAAATCTGATGAAACAGAATGCGGGGAAGCCTAGATGGAGACCCAACCCCTGGCGCGAACTGGGTTGAGTGCGGAGTGTACCCAGGGGACCCGCTACCCTCCAGGGTCCAGCAAGGGGCGTGCGTTCCGGAGGCCAGCGCCGGGAGCCGCCCCCGGCCTCGGACACCACCCGCGTGACACCCGGTCGGGTAATGCCCGAGGGGCTCAAGTTGCCGCTCGCTGGGTTCCCGACCCGGTGGGCGCCGCTTACCTCGACGGCTCTGCTGGGACGCGCGGAGAGGCGGCGGCGGGAGCGCCCGGCGGGCTGGGCAGCTGGGGGCAGGCGGCGGGGTAGGCAGCGCGGTCGCCCTCGGCTCTGAAGTCGGCTGCACCCTGGCTCGAGGTCCGCGCCTAGGGGAGGAAGTGGTGTCAGCCCTCCCCTTCCCACGCAGCGCGCAGACGGGTGGCGCTCGCCACGCTGTTTGCGCCGAGGTGCTGGGAGGGCGTCTGGTTAGGAGATGGGGACTTCAAAATAGGCTTAAGGGCTCCTGCAGTTCGCAGGCTGCTTTCCCCAAGTCATCTGGCCTGTGCCTTCTTTCCTTTTGTACCACCCCCACCACCACCTTTGAGTCAAAATGGAAAAAAAAAAAAAAGCCAACAACAACAACAAATAAAGGTGTTTTTTGTTTGTTTTCGTTTTTTAATTCTGGGAAAAATAGCGCCTTGCTCCTTCAACTTTTTCCCCACGTGCGGGGATCTCAGGAGCGTCCCCTGGCGAACAGACCCATCTTTGATATAGGAGGAACTAAGGAACACAGGGCCAATTAATTAATGGTTCCACAAAAAGCGTAGAACTCAATTTATTTTGCAAGGGTCTTCCTAACTGTCACTTCAGCCTTTTCTGTGCTTCCTCTTTTGGGACAGTTGTGTAAGGCTTCCTGGCTGCGCATTCCGCCCGCAGGGCATGAGGCAAAGGACAGCACAGAAGAGTGACTGGGTGCTGGGGGTGGCCAGGTGACACCTAGGGAGTCTGGGCCCCCGTGGGGGCAGGGAAGAAGGGTGTGCTCAGCATTTCTCAACCATCCGCCTGGCAAACCCCATCAGATATACTGACGAAAATAAGTGATGCAAATGCACAAGGTCCTTTGAGGCCCCACGATTTGTAACAGCAAAGGACTGGAAATGGCCTGTGACTGTTGGGAGTGGGGTCTCCTGAGAGAAAATGGTTGGGGAAGTCTGAAAATACAGAAGTTCAAAATCAGTTACGATTTGTAAATGTGGTTGAATTCATCTCCTCTTCCTTTCTACAGCTGGGTCTTCAAAGGCTCACAGGCAGAGGACTGTGGCAACGACATTAAGACATAAATTAGGCACATAAATTAATAAGAGGATTTCTGATAGATCAGTTATTTATTCAATGAGAAATTACTTATTAAGCACCTACTCTTCTAAGAACAAGAGAAATGGGGAAGAAAACAATTCCTGCTCTGGTAGATGGTGCATTCTAGTTGGCAAAAAACAGACAATTAAAAAAATTTAGTAGCTCACACGTGGAATAATGTGTTTTGAAGGAAATTAAAAGATGAAGTATAGAAAGTGGTAGGCATGGGAATCTGGATTCTGGGTTAATTAGACCCACTGAGGAAGAGCTATCTGATAACCAATTCTTGAGCCAGGCCTGAATTACTTAACATGAGAGATTGATTCATGTTGGAATTTTGGAAGAGAATATTCCAGGCAGAAGGGACAGTACCTTTGAAAGCCCTGAGTTAGGAGGATACTTGAGATATTGGAAAAACATCAAGGAAACTAGGATGGCTGGAGGGGAATGTGAGCGCCAGATAGAAGATGAGATCAAAGAGAAAAAGGTGGCCAGACTGTGTGTGGCCTGGCAGGCTTTTATGTGGATGAGACTTGGATGTGAGATGGAGAGCCATTGGAAGGTTGTGAACAGAACCTTAGATGCTATGTAGAAAGGAAAAGCAAGCAGTGGAGTGGGAGTGACTTTCCTGGGGGAGGGAAAGTGGTCAAGGAACATCTCTTGGTGAAATAGCGAGAAGGGACAGCCATTTGGAGACTTGGAAAAGCCTTCCAGAAAAGCAAGAAAAGGTGCTTAGATAGGGACACAGAAGGCTAGAAAGGAGGCACATCAGTGTGGCTGAACCTAGTAAAAGAGTAGGGCAGTGGTAGAGGACAAGGAAAGGTGAGTAGGGACCAGATCTAGCATGGCCTTGAGGTCAGTGTTGAGGATTTTGGGTTATAGTCTAATTGCAGTGGGAGCTATTAGAAGGTTTTCTTTTCTTTTTCTTGTTTTTTCTTTTCTTTTTTTTTCTCTTCTTCTTCTTCTTCTTTTTTTTTTTTTTTGATACCAGGTATTAAACCTAGGGGCACTTAACCACTGAACCACATCCCCAACCATTTTAAAAAAAAAATTATGCCTGAGCATCACCAAATTTCTGAGGTTGGTTTTAAACTTGTGATCCTCCTGCCTCAGCCTCTAGAGGCATATGTCACCACATACGGCCTATTGGAAGGTTTTTAGCATGATATAAATTATGGTATAATCCATCATACTGGCTGGTGATATTTGGGAAACAACTGAATAGGATAAGAGAAGCAGGAGAGAGAGAGAGAGAGAGAGAGAGAGAGAGAGAGAGAGAGAGAGAGAGAGAGATCCCTCAATAGGTTGTGGCAAGAGTCCAGATGAAAATGATTGTAGCTTTGATTAGAATCCTAACAGTGTGAATGGTAAGAAAAGTTTGGATTCAGTATACAGTTTTCAAAGTAGAATCAACAGCATTTGATGATGAGCCATGATGGTGGTGGAGCTGGGGAGCCACAGAAGGGATTAGGAATTAAATGTAAACCAGCATGATGGCAGTCGTGGAAGCTCTCAATAGAAAAGTCAGTAGGGACAAGCCATGCAGGGTGGCACGGACCACATCAGAGTTGTTTTCTCAGCCTAAGAACAATGAGAATGTGTTAATAATATTTTAAGCTGGCAGGTGAAGAGATTTAAATTTTAGAAAAATCATTCTGGCTATAATTTGGGGAATTGATCAGACAAAGAAAAGAATAGACACTGGAAGCTTCCCAGGCTAAGACAGGGAAGAGATTGTAATGGTTTTGACTCAGTTGGTAACAATAAAGAAATGAAAGAAATGGATGGACCAGAGGGATATTTGTAAGGTTGTTGGTGGGAGACTGTGATGACTGGACACAGGCAGAGTGAGGAAGAGGGAGAAAGAAGTCAAGACTGACTGTAAGAATCAAGCTTGTGTCCTGATGGCTGGAACACAATGAGTTTTATTTCAAACAAACTAAGTTTAATAAGACCTGAGACATCTGAGTGAAGTCTTCTCTGTAATACAAAGAAGAGTATAACTACAACAACATGGATGAGCCCCCAAATAATGCTGAGTACAGAAAGCCAGATTACAGAAGAATATTTATATAATGTTTGTGAAAATTCAAACTATTGTGACAAAAAGCACTGGGGAGAGGGGAGAGGAAGAAAAAGGGAAGGAGAGCCAAGTGGCACAAGGACACTTAGAATTGATGAACATGTCCATTATTTGGATTCTGGTGGTGGCTTCGGTGGATGGGTAGCTATGTCAAAAAGGATCAAACTGTATATGTTAAATATGTGTAGTAAACTATGTGTCATTTTGTACCTCAATTTGTCTGCAAAAATAAAATCTTTACATCCTATACTGCTATTCAATTCATGATTTCAAAAATAAATTATATTTTGAAATCTAAAATAAATTTTAGTTATAATCTTATATACCAATAAGAGATATTTAAAAGTGTGCAATACAATATTTTAAGCTAATATTGATAAATAGGGAAGATTTTCTACTTTAGATTTTTCTTAACATTTGTTGTTGGATGCCTTAATCTGAAATCTAGGCTTATTTATATTAATAAGAGAGAAAAAGGGAAAAAAGTTCAAAATTGTACAGGAAGAAATATGAAATGAAATACTACTGATTTTCCAGAATGTCTGACCAATACTAGAGGCTGCAAAAAGCTATTGGATATTGCTGATATCCTTTATAGGTACCATATGAAAGTGATAAAATAATAATAGCTTGCTATGACAATAAAGAGTGGTATTTTTTGTTTTGGACAGAACATACTAAAACAAAAAAATGAAGAATTTAAACAATGCTAATGTTACTTTTTTTTTTTTTCGTACTGGGGATAGAACTCAGGGCTGTGCATGCTAGGCAAGCATTCTACCATGGAACTGTATCTCCATCCTTTTGGAAAAAATTTTATCTGAGACAAGGTCTTGCTAAACTTCCCAGGCTGGCCTTGAACTTGTGATCTGCCTACCTCAACCTTCCAAGTAAAAATGTTACATATTAGATATTTTAAAAGTTTAGAACTTAAACTTTAGTAGAGGTTTTTATCAACCAAATTAAAGTATTTTTAATTAATTAATTTATGTATTTTGCCTGATCCATATGCCTTCTGGTAAGAGAGGCCAAAACACACAATCTCCTCAGGCTCTCTGGAGAAACTCTTAACCATTATATAGTTAATTTTTGTATGTGTATATGCATGACAATAGTAGTTAGATTGGTTAAAAAAATCAGAAAATGTGCATGAGAATGTGCAATATTGCCCTGTTAAATATTTTAGAACCTCAAATTAAGATTTGGCAGCTTTAAGTGGGCACAGAGTCATATTTAAATATTGGCCATAAACATTGCCCAGCTGCATATAAGTTTAATACAAATTATTTCCCTGGGGCATTTAGGTTACCAACAAGAACTTATTAAATAGAAACATTGAAGTTATGATTTGCATTACGTTATTTATCTTTCCTAGAGATGAAGGGAAACTAGTGAAACAAAATTTCTGCACTTTAAAATAAAATTTGATTTCATTAAAAGAAGATATTAGCAGGTATTTTATTGTAATTTTATGATTTGATGGTTTTGGCTCTTCATATAATAGTAACTGCTGTTTACCATTATTCACTTTCTGTGAACATTAACTTTTATGCACTATGATTAGTTTTTTAAATTTTTAAAGTGAATCTTTTCCTTCATTCAAAATTCTTCATTTCTTAATTTACATACAGAGAAATGAGCAGTTTTTAAGTACACAATTTGATGAAGCTTTCCCTCTCTTGATGGTGTTTTAAATTTTGATAAAGTGCAATGAATCATTTTTTTTCTGTTATGATAAGCAGTTTTATGTGTGTGCATACCCTGTGAAATGTTTGCCTATTCCAAGATAATCAGGATTTTCTCCTCTGTTTTCTTGTAGAAGTTTTATAGTTTTAGCCATAGTTTTAGTTTATGCATGTGACCAATCTTGAATTAACTTTCAGGAGTGGTAATAGGTAGATGTTGAGATTCAATCTA